GCGGGCGGCGACGCTGGGCCGGGCCCGTCCCCGACCCCATCCCCGGGGGCGCGGGAGCAGGTGCGGGCGGGATGACGTGATGTCTATTCCGGGCCAGGCCGCGCTGCCGCCGCCGGAGCCTTTGTTCGCGCCTCCCGGGGGGCCGGGCGGGCAGAGCGGGCGGCCCGCCCTGGAGCATCGCCCGGGAGGGGCCGAGGAGGCGCCGGGCGAGACCCCGGATCCCGGCACCGCAGCAGGCCACGCTTAGGCCCCGGTGGCACAGCCTGGGGTAGGGGAGCCGGGCGCGGTGGCACCGGGAGGTCCAGCCCACGCGGGGTTTCCGAGTTGAATGGAAAGGCGAGCTGACAAGGGGCGTCGGGCCACGAGCGTCGCCAGCGCAGAGAGGCCGAGCGAGCGCGTCGCCGCGCTCCTCAGCCGGTCCCGTGGTTCAAACACAATTTCCACCTCCTCTTTTATCCTCTAGCGTTTATTGCTTCTTCCGCACATCGTCTGTCCCATCTGGTGCGCGCCGCGTCTCTTGACACGCGGGTCTACGCAGTCATTGAGCCTGGGCGCTGCATACAAGCACGCTTTTCCAGGGAGACTTGATAGGTTATTACGATGGTATTAAAAATACTCGATAAATTAAGAAAAGCAAAAGAATAGTAAGTTGCATGTTCTTATAGGTAAATAATTACAAAACTGCTGAAATCTCCTTATGTGGTGGCTCTTGTTCAAATTGGGATGCTAGTAGCTTGGTACGAGCTTTACAAGCAACTGGAACAAGATCCCTGCCCCAGAGAGCTCACAAATTAAACGTACTTCATGCATCATTCTTGCTACCTAAAGTATTGGGCTGTCTAACAAATGATATGGCACCCTAAGTAAAACCTGTCGCAGCTAACATCTGTATCCAGAACGAGGAGTACTCGCTGTTGTGGTTCCTTGTGCGTGCCTGAAGGAAAATGTTCTACATCAGGGGATGTTGAAAATACTTCTTTTTGTCCTTCATGCAAAGGTCTTATCTACAAACAAACTTGCAATGCTTTCACTACAAGTTCATTTTTAAACCAATTTCATTCAACCTGTGCAAATCATGATGTGGACGCTTTTAAAGCAGATTAAAATGGCTTTAAGTTGACTTAGTATGTATATCAAAATTCTTGAGGAATTTACGTAAACTAAATTAATAAAGGATACCTCAACTAAATGAGTATCCGCAAAAAGCTTAACTAAATTAGTTTAAAAACCAAATTTAGCCAACTTGGTGCAAATCTGTGTGTAGAAAAAGACAAATAATGTCACTAATGCTAATGTGAATCAGCTTTACAGAGGACAATGTAGAATATGTCTACTTGACAGCCTGCCATGCAGTCTAGATTCCAGAGATGCCTGGGCTACTTTGAATCTGGTGAGCTAAGCTAGCCTGCACTAAGCTTCATGTTGCTGTAGCTGGAATTACCGCTAGAGCCAAAGCTAGCTTGGGTTTGTCTAGACTATACTGCTGTTTGCAGTGTGGACATACCTTTAGTTAATATAATGATTCACATCTGTAGCATGTCCTTGGCCTTATACCTCCAATCTACAAACCATCCCAAAGTGACTGGGCCTTTCATTCATACAGCTCAGTAGTTTTGCCTGAAACAATTGCTCTTATTGGGTGCCTATACACGTGCAGTGAGGCTGCTCCGACGCGCTATAATTACAGCAGACTCCATGTCGTATGTATCAGCATCCCTATGCTGAAGAAAAGGCAGGGGCACTTTAACTAAAGCGCGTTTGACAGGCTTTAGTTAAAGAGCCCCTGCTGCCATTTTTCAGCATGGGGACCCTGATACACAAGACACTCTGGGTGCTTTAACTAGAGCAGCTCTTGTAGGCGCTCAAATTTATTCTTTTAGTTTCATAGATTGTAAGGGGCTGGAAGGGACCTCGCAACATCATTGGGTCCAGCCCCGCCACACTAGGCAGGAAAGACAACTGGGGTCATAGTTTCATAGTTGGTAGGGTCGGAAGGGACCTGAGCAGATCATCAAGTCCAACCCCCTGCCATGGCAGGAAGTGACCTCAGCAATGTGACCATCCAGTCTCCTCTTAAAGATTTCCAGGGTAGGTGATTGTACCACATCTGGAGGGAGCTTATTCCACAGTCTGGACACACTAATTATGAAGATTTTTTTTTCCTGATGTTGAGTCTGAAATAGTCTTCCAGGATTTTGTGGTCATTACTCTTAGTTTTTCCCAAGGGTGCCCTGGTGAACAGTTGTTCACCGAGCCCTTGATGTATTCCCCTGGTGTAGTAGTAAGCTGCTACCAAGTCCCCTCTCAGCCTTTTCTTTTGCAGGCTGAAGAGTCCCAAATCCCTGTCTTTCCTTGTATGGCTTGCCATGCAAGTCTCTGATCATATGGGTGGCCCTTCTCTGGACTCTCTCAAGCTTTACCACATCCGTGTTGAAGTGCAGCGCCCAGAAGTGGACTCAGTACTCCAGCTGCGGTTTCACCAGTACCAAGTAAAGCAGTAGAATCACTTCCTTGGTTTTGCTCAAGACACATCAGTTGATGCATGCCAGAGTATTGTTTGTCCTGCTGGCTATAGCATTGTGCTGGTGGCTCATATTCATACTATGGCCTATTATTACCCCTAGATCTCTTTCAGTTGTGTTGCTAGTCTGTTTGGCGCCACCGAGTGTGTATGTTGGGGATTGTTCGTCCCCAGATGGAGCACTTTACACTTCTCTCACATATATGAAGGATGTCTTTGAGCGAGACAGTAATTGAATGCAAGATAGATGAGAGCCATAAGAATGTAAGAGATGCTGAGTCAGGCCACAGGTCTGTCCAGCAGAATATCCCATCTCACACAGCAGCAGGGACTGGATGTTAAGGGAAAGCGTGTTTTTTGTATGGCCTGTCTGGACTGATCTTTCCCTCTTCTCCTCTTCCCTTGTGGTTTCTAGCATTTAGAGGCCTAGGAAGTCCTCATTTAGAAGCTGCGACCATAACTTATTACGTTTAAGATCCACTGATGGACCTTTCCTTCATGAATTTGTCTCGTCCTTTTTTGAATCTCCTTAAATTGCCAGTCTGTACAACATCTTGTGGCAATAAGTTTCACAAGTTAATTACAAGCCGAGTGGAAAGAGAACTTCCTTTTGGTAGTTGTAAACTCTCTTCCTAATCATTTTGTTGTACAGCTTCTTATTGTAGAAGTGAGACAGATTAGAAATAGTAAATCCCTCTTTATTGTCTCGATGCTGCTCGTTATTTTATAGGCCTCTGTCATATCTCTCCTTGTACAGAAACCTCTCCATACCCCTGATCATCCTTGCCCTCCTCTGTTCATTTTCTACCTCTACTGTATGCTTTTGGAGGTGGGTGGATTGGAACTGCACGAGGTATTCCAGGTGGTGGTGTACGGTGGATTAATACAGTGATGTGGCGTTCTGTTTTCAGTTCCATTCTTAATACACCCTAACACACTCCATTTGCCTTTTTGATGTTTGCTGAACACTGGACATGTTTTCAAAGAACTATCCCAATAATTCTTCTTCTAGAGCTGTGTTGGTCTAAATGCATATGACTTTGATCTGATTTTAAAAGACAAGGAAGCCTGGTCTCTAGCTAGTGCTCTGAAGAAGAAAAGTCCTTTGAAAATGCATGTTTTTAGGTCTGATTTTCTCCCTCATTAATTTGGTTATATGCCTGTAACTCCATTTAAGTCAATGGTGTGACACACATTAACATGCTATAATAGAGTGAAGAATTAAGCCTCTCACATTAGGTGGTGTTGCCCATGAGGAAGAAAAATAATTTTTTTTATCTGTTTGTTTTAGAGCAGACCCTAATGATCCCCGCGAGGACATGGTTCTCACTGTGTGAGGCAGCCTAGATGCAGAAAGAAAGTCCCTTCCATGAAGACCTTTCAATCTGAAAGGGCAAAAAGATTAGAGGAAGAGGAATGTTCTTCATAAGCAGTACTGTACAGTAGGATCATCTGAAAACATTCATTTATTGTGGGTTTGTTTGTTTTTTTTCCTAGTCTGGCTGGTCTCACCATCACTTTGTTAGATGGGGATTAGCTGATTGGAAGGTCCAAAGAAAAGAGAAGGGACACTGAATGGAGGCAGATAAGAGAGACAAAGAAGGGAAGAAGGAAAGAATGAAGGAAACCAGTAGATCATGAAGAGCGCTAGGAGTTAGGCTAAGATGCAGAAATTGATTGAGAGACTGCTAGAAGAAAAATTTAGTCAGGAAATAGGAAAGACTTCAGAATAAGCGTTGGAAAACTCTCATGCTCTTAAATGGAGACATCCAGAGTTGGTTTTTATCAGTTATTTTTAACTTTCATTTGGTGCTTACATACTTGAGCCTTGTCTGCAGTGCTGCAATTTATGACAAGTTGGGTCAGTACATCCATGACATGCATCTTCTTGTAGTCACTGGGAGAGCTCCTAGAAGATCCACAGGATAAGTGCATTAATGAAATATGGGTGTGTCCATCTCCTGGAGCGGACAGAAAAAGCCTGGTACTTTACATCCCTGGAATTGGCATATTTCAGATACTGTACACATCAGGGCTCTTTTTCTGCCTTCTTCCTTGTCTGCTGCTAGTTATTTCCCCAAACTGCTAACATTTTAGAAGTCTGCAGTAGAATATATTCAACTTCTTTATGTTATAATGGGCATACCCAAAATGATTCACAATTTCTGCAGACTTCTGCACGTTCCTTATGTAGAAAAGAAAAGTCTCACTCCTTTTATGCAGTACCACACAGTCAAGAAATAAGCAGGACTGAAAACAGGACTGGACAGCTATATAAAAGACTAAAAACATCCATAGTTACAAAAGTATGTCTTGGAGGGGATATGAATCCATTGGCCCCACAGCATAAGCCAACCTCTGATTAATGGGGCTTAAAGAAGAAACCTCTCTCACTTACAGGGCCTTTCTTAACTGCCTCCTGTGAGTTTCCATGAATCTTCTCCTGAAGCACATGGTACTAAATTCTCTTAGACAGGAGGCTAGACAGATCAGTAGTCTGATGCAGTTTGGCAATAACTCTGTATCTAACACACTTGGGTCTTCTCTCCCTGCCCAGTCCTCTGGAGGAAAAATAGAACCATGATACCCAAGGTCTTTCGAGAGTTCTTGTCAACTGCACCACAGTCACTGGGTTCGATAATGTTTACTACTTTTGGTTAGAATGACCTTACAGTTAAGACCAGGGAGGTAGAAGTCCTGTAAAATAAAAATTACTAAATGAAAATTAAGCCTTTAATGAAAAATAGCCTTTTCAGCTAAGAGAGTTTTTGACTTTTTGTTTGTTTTCCCCGCTTCTCATTTCCCATCTGGAGGTGGTCTAAAAACAATAGCAAGAAGTTTCTGTTGCAGGCTTTGAGGATTATATTTTATTTCCCATATGACCACTGCATATTTTTCCAGTAGTTAGTTATGCTTAGTATTTTAGCAGAATTGCAAACTCAAGAAGTTATAGCGCCCATGTAATAAAGACATGTATTTTGAGATCAAAATGAACAAGGATTTTGGCACCCTCTTTGTCTGTGGTGTGTAACCTCAAATATCTAGAAAGGGGTGAATTGTAGAAATTTATGCAAATTAGCTATGAGATTATTTACTGCTTTTCAAAGAGAGAGCGCAGATAAAATTGCTACATAGGAAGCAGCATGGAGCCTGCTGAAACTCTGAACAGGGAGTATTAGTAATGAAACAAAGACCTGTCCATGTTGCCATTTTGCCCCCTCCTTCCACAGTACTCTGACCAGGGCACTAAAGGAGCTTGTTATGCTTCTGGAGAAGGATCATTCATATGAAACGTTTAGAACCTAGCAGGGTCCCTGGGGTTATCTGGACAGCACGGAAGGAGGGAACTGTATTTAAGGAGACTAACAGTGCCTATTAGAAGATGATTAATTTTTGAGCATCTGCATAAAATACACCAGCCAGTATCTCAATTCTGACATCTCAAATTGGAAGCATGTGTAGTGATGGTGCTGGTCTTTTCCTCCCGTTCTATCTGTAGCATCTCTTATAATGCTGTGCCTACAGTCTGTTATACAAAATACAATACATACAACTAAGTTGCCTTGCTAGAAAAATATTTTTATACAGTGCTGACTGATGCTGTTTTTCTGTTTTTCTTATGACACGCCTGTTTGATACACTTAATGTTAATTGTATACATATAACCTTTTTAAAGCATGTTTGTTGCAGCATCTCTTCCACTACTGATTGCTGCTTCTTATAGGACTGTGCAGGTCTCTGCATGTGGGGTGAGGTGGAGGCAGGATTTTCTCCCCATGACTACTCTCAAGCTGTGGTACACGCACTTATAACAGCAAAATGAGATTGTGCAGAATTTCATATCATGGTCTGCTGTCTTACGCAGTTAGAAATGAAGCTGTCATCTGGGTTATTATGAGAAGAGAAATTCACATTTTAGAGCTGCTGCTTCACACTGTCAGAGGACTAAGGGCCCTTGTCTACAGTTACCCATTTTACTGAAAAACTGCATGCTGTTGCTAACACTAGTTGGAGCGCTAGTGTTGATATGGCACAAGTAGCAGATGGTATTTTTTTTATTACCAGGTCATGTTCTAAACAATTTAGGTGACAAAGTGCTTTAAACACTAATGGCTGGCTGAAGTCCTATTCTAATGTTCCCTTTGATGGAGCTGGCAACTGGAAATTTCAATAAAGTATTGTATGCACCTATGGTAGGAAAAGTGTGCATTGGGCAAAATTTACATCATAAGAACCAATAGCAAAGATGCTGCTGAGTAGCTGCTAAGTCATAAGTGTAGACAGGACTCACCATTGTGTCATGAAAAACCTACCTGAACAAGTTTTCAATTCAAGTGGTAAAAGCTTGCAAAACCTGTGAAAATTATGTAAGAACAAGTCCACTTTAGGCTATTTAAATTATAGCTGTTAGTTTCCAAACCATAGCAACGATTTATATAAAAGTCCCAGCATATGAAGATGATTTATAATCCTGTGCCAAACATTTCAAGGACAAAACTTGAATCAATTGTAACACAACTCAGGATTATAAATAAATTGTCTAACTACTTATTGTAGTTGTTGGCAGCATAATAGAATAGAGTAATATTTTTAAAGAAGCCATAAAAAAGTGTAAAGACTCCTCTTTAAATCAAGAAATTGCAGGTCACTGAAGCATTTCTCTTGGAGCTGTGCTGACACCAACGGTGATGGTACACTAAGTGGAGTTGGTGGGATACGACAATCAAAAAAAGTAGACGTTTTTATTAAGTGAAACTTGGGTTAGCTATGGCAAAGGGGTAGGAAATGTCTCCATGGCAAAAAATAAATCGAGGAAAACATTTAAGGTTCCTAATGAGTTTGACATAAAGAACATAGAATAAAAAAGTTTTCATGTTAATTTGATAGCATCACTGATTGTACTAGGTTCTGCACAGATACAGAAGCCTTGGGGGCACTGGCTCATCCCAGATTGTTTTGTTGTCTTTGCAGATGTCTCTCCAGTTGTAGCAGGGCTCATTGGTGCTACTGTCCTTGTAGTTTCTGTCTCAGTAACGGTATTTGTGTGGACATGCTGCCACCAACAAGCAGAAAAAAAGCACAAAAACCCTCCTTACAAATTCATTCATATGCTGAAAGGCATCAGTATCTACCCGGAGACCTTGAGTAACAAGAAGAAAATTAACCGTATCCGGAGAGACAAGAATGGCACTGCCAAGGATACCGGAAAAGGAAACCTCTTGGTGGATGCTGCTGAGGCTGGCTTACTGGGCTCTGAGAAGACCCCAGATGGACTTAATGCAACCCCCTGTGTTGATCAGCTCCCAATAAAAATGGATTTTGGAGATGAACTAAGTCCAGATCAAAGCCTCACCCCAGGTGGGAGTAAAACCTCCTCCCCATCTTCCCCAGAGGAGGATGTCCTGCTGGGAGAACTGACTTTCTCAGTGGACTACAACTTTCCCAAAAAAGCATTGGTGGTGACCATTCAAGAAGCTCATGGGCTGCCCATGATGGATGAGCATACACAGAGCTCTGATCCCTACATAAAGATGACAATTCTTCCAGACAAAAGGCACCGAGTCAAGACTCGTGTGCTTCGCAAGACCTTGGACCCTGTCTTTGATGAGACTTTCACCTTCTACGGGATCCCCTACAGCCAGCTCCAGGATTTGGTGCTCCACTTCCTGGTGTTGAGCTTTGATCGTTTCTCACGAGATGATGTGATTGGAGAAGTCATGGTGCCGCTTGCTGGGGTAGATCCAAGCACTGGAAAGGTCCAGCTCACTAGGGAGATCATCAAAAGGAACATACAAGTAAGTGACTTGTTTTAGTTTGGAGAGATGCTTTGTGCTGTATATGCTTGACCCCTTGTAATGTGATCCCCAATTAGGCTGTTCTTTTGTTGGGGAGGACTCAGTGTGTCTAAGAATGATGAATACTGTGACCCTGACTCGCATGCATAGCTTTTACTTGCACTAGTCTCAGCAAAGTCAATGAGAACACTTGTGTAAGAACGGCTGTCAGGATTGGACTTCATATTTTTGTGTAATTTGGCTGAAATCCAAAGTCGTGTGCCTGACATCTGACACAGTGCTCAATAATCAAACTTCCCATTTAATCTGTATATTGCTTCACACACCTAGGTGTTACAGTTACAAAAGTAATTTCCAGCATGTTACTAACCAAAACAGTGAAGCATGGAGGACAGCAGCCTGGAGGAAGATTTTTAGGATGCCTTAAGTGCTGGTTGTTCTGGTAACTTGCTGCTGTAGATTCTCATTGTCCTCTGCTTTGGGTTTAATGTTTTATTTTTCCTTTGTTTAATATCCATCAGGCAAGCTTAAAAATAAATTATATTTGAGTAATTAACCTTTGACATGAATTGATTTGTTGTTTTAGTATAACATTTCTAAAGTGAAAATAGTTTAGTGCTGACTTCATCTTAAATTGCAAATTTAATGCGCCTAGGGACAGACATTTCAGAGAGGGTTTGCTTGAGCAGTACCTTTGCATGAAATCGTAGGTGCTCGGCCGGTCTGAAATCAGTCTGGAGGTATCTAGAACTAGTACTGCAAATAATATTTGAGCTAAATAAACTGCTGATAAAACACACAGCTGTTTTTTGTTGTTGTTGTAAATTACATCCTGAAAATCAGTCTGTGTTATTCCTATGGTGAGAGTTTTTTTTTTACTTTGCCAAAATTTCTAGTTTCTCTCAAAACAAAAACCAAAGCTAAGCACTCAATAACTTCTCAGTAAATCCTCCAGTTGGAGACTTGGAATATGCAATACTAACCCACTGAAACATTACAGATTTGACAGAAAGTTTCTTATTTAGTTTTTGGGAAAGGGGAATTTTTGCTAACTGGAGGTCTCCATTCTGGGACAGGCAGAAAGTAAGGCAGTATGACAACGTGGATTGCTATCTATAAAAGCTTGTGTCCCTCCAAACTAGTCAGTTTTCAAGGTACCACCTTGGCATACCTCCTGCCTGAATTCAGACTAACATGGTAGGTTGCCCGCCTCTCTGATTCTGAAAAGCAATTAATTTAGGCCACTGTCTCTTTCACTGGGAAGGACTTAATGCAGCTGTCTGACTGGGTGAGGTGATGTGTGATCATCTCTAGGTCAAATGTGCCTGCCGTTGATATGAAAAGAAATGGACTGGCTGTGACAAGCTAAACAGTAGGGATGCCAGGCAGTTAGTAATGTATAGCTGTGCTTCTATAGTTTTGCAGTTCTCTGTGCTTTGGCAATGGAAGATTGATCTGCGTAATCACCGAATGATAATTTTTCAATATCCAGCAAACATACATGGCTGCTAGATGGGGAAAGATTTTCACCAGTACCTTAATTCTTCTTTACTGGCTTTGGGCAGCTCAAAAGGACATTAAAATACCCATTTTTGTTGAACTTCTGCAAGCCCTTCAGAGAAGGAGCAACCAGCACTACAGAAGTTCTGCAAAGTGCTGTGGCCCATGGAGTGGCTCTGGGAGGTGACCCCAGTTTAGAGACAGCCTCGGAGCTATTTAAGTTATATCAGTAGAGGTGCACAAGACTGCTGTTGGTTGCTCAGGGGATGATCTCACCAGAGCTGTAAGCAGGTCGTACCTCTGTGCTTACACTGTTAGATCTATCTACAGCCTTGGCTAGTATTGATCATGAGACGCTGCTGACTCATCTGGTACTTGGCAGAGGCAGGCATTCTCTTACAGATGGATGTCTTTATTCTTTTGGAGATGTTCCAGAGAGCCATAATGGGTGGTTGCACACTTTCCCCAAGGGCTGCCCTCTTTTAGGGCTCCATCATCACTGTTCTTGTTCAACGTGTTGAAGCCCTGGAGGAGACTCAGATGGATATACTGTGCCCTCTTTACTCTTTTTCACTAGGTCCTCTCAGTGCTGTTCGTGAATATTGTAATGTCTGGTTGCAAAAGGGCCCAGAATGAAAACCAGCAAGTAGCATGTTGAAGTTAAAATTAAAATTGTTTCTAACTTTGGGACTGCCCAAGAGCTCCCACTGACATAGTATGTGGCAACTCAGCCTTTAGAAAAGGCACCCTGCCGGTGCACATTATACTAGAGCTCCAAGCTCTGCATCAGCTGCCATTTCGCATCTGGATGCAGTAAAAGGATTTGGTCATTTATACAGAAAAGCAGTTTAGGACTTGGAATCATCCACTTTGCAGAAGATACTTCTTCCTCCTTTATCCTGCCATGACAACTTGTTAATCAGAGATATTTTGGCTTTATCAACAGGTCTGGGATTTTCCACTGTCCCTACCCTCTCCACTGCCTAATGGGATGAGGTTATTTTAAAACATGCTTGCTGGTGATGGTCCAAATATGCCATTGTGCCAGCCATCCAAAGCTGGAGTGCAGTAATGTTCCAGCATAATCTTCTTGCACTTCCACATACTTGTACCATTGGATGGGCAGACAAGCTACACCTTCCTGACCCCTTGGTATTGCCAGAACAGCAAAGAGGACTCACACGGTGTAACAGACTTGGGCCCACAGCACAGTGCTGTGTTGACTATTGGATACCATATGCTGAAATCTAATCCTGAGGGAGCAGCTAGAACCTGACCTATTGCTTTTAGAGTGTAAGACAAAATGCATCACTTGGTGCAAGTTGTTTCTCAATTGTGAAAAGGCCTTATCCCTGGGAATTAGTATCTTGAATGGCCAGGGGTGGATAGCAGGGTGGGAGCAGTCATGCCCCTGACATCCCCACCCCGCTTTGATTCCTGCTCCGCCCAAACTTTCAAACCAGCTTCCTCGGAGGGGCAGTGGCGCTTCTATTCAGGCAGCACTGAGGGAGTCATGATTAATCTCTTCACTTCACAGCTATTAACAGTTCTCTCTCCTTTTTAATAGTCTGTACGGTCTACTTTTCAAACTATTTTTTTTTTCTTCTACAACTTTGCTGGCTGTTAGCTATTTCTGGTAATGTCTGTCTTCTATTTCACAGCTCTGCAAATTTTGTTTTTAGCTCTAGCTAGAAACCTTAACTCAGGTGTGGTAATATTAGCTCATCTATAGAAATGATGACACCAAAGTATTTGAGACAGTCAGGATGCTCAAGACTAGATTATTTTGATTAATCTGAATAAGATGCACATTTAACTATAATGACTATAGTACTAGCAAAACAATATCTTTTTACTATTGTTGCCTAGTTTGGGTTTTTCTAAACTCTCTCTATATAATCTAGTACACGAGTGCACATTCTAATAAAGTTTATATTTGTTTCTGCTTTTATCTTAAACTGAATAATGTAGCACCAGGTCCCTACCTTATTAATAAAGCTTCTTTTTTCCTCCTCCAGGTACAGAGAAACATGTGCTCTATCTGACCATGTACTGTACCATCTGTACCCCTTCTGCTCAAAACCCTCGCTCTGCCCATGTGGTTCATCACCTTTTTGGACTGTGACTTCTTAAAAACAATGGTGGCTGCTTTAGGCAGTACAAGCATTGTTTCTTAAGGAGGGGAATGTTAAATTCAGTCCTGTAAAATACTATTTTTTCCCCAGATACTGCAGCAGTGGGCAACAGAGAATGGTGTATAATAAATACATGTGGTAATGGAAGACAGAAACTAGGCCAAGAATTGGGGTCAGCAGACTAACTGCAGATTCTCCTCAAAGGCAGCCTTGGGAAACAGCCAGTTAAAACCCTTTTATAAGTCATACGTAGAGTGGCAGCATTATAAGATGCAGAACTCTGCGTCTTGCTTCCAATTTTATGTGCACGACTTTTAAAAATAAATTCCTTGAAGGGACTGTGAAACTCAGTGAGTTTGTTAGGAGGAAAAATTGCAGAATAGTTTTGAGTGATTGATTTCTCCCCATATTTTACAGGTTAAAAGACAGACGTGCTAATTCTAGCACCTGGGTTTACTCCTGATAGCTCTGTGAGCAGACTGACATGCTCAAGTAATATGCTCACAAGCACAATGAGAAGGTGGAACTCGCATTCAAATTCTAATTTTCCTTTAATGGTTGGTTTTATTTTGGCTACTTAGCGCTCAGAATCAGTAGGGCACGGGATTCTCCTCTTCATTGTCTGCTTTCGGCTGTTGTGAATTGTTGCTGTGTTCTATTAAACAGCTGCATTGTATTTCTAGGGTTAAATTATGTGCCAGCTGGAAACAAATGGTCATTAGAATCCTTCTTAAGGAATTGTATAGAAATTATAAAACAAGCACCTCCATCTTGTTAGTGGTTTAGACAATTCAACTGTCAGTTGTGTGGTGGCGTTTCTCACGGCTGTTCCACTGTTTCCTGTCCAGACAGGTTGCTGCTGTAACTGTTCCTGTCGGTCCAGCCTTGTTACTGTTCCCTCACAAACTGCCTGTCGGATGGAGTTAACATCTTTTGACAGAAATGACTTGCTAGGATACATACTGGACTCATTTAATCTAACTGAATGAATGGTTAACAAAAGAATGAAACAAACCTGGTAATTGTAGGTACTTCATCTCAAAAAGTTGTCCTAGACTTCCTGAAAAGAAGTACCTTTCTCTGTATTGCTTTTGTGTATGTAGCTCCCTAGTAACCACTGCAACTTTGCTTGTTCCCAGCTTTATCTTGCTGCTGTTCAGAGAGAAGTAGAGTGCTGTTATTCAGGCTGGAAGTTCAAGATTGTAAAATCTAGGGCATTCTGCAGTGAGTAAAAAAGGCACCAGCCCTTCACAACCCAGGAGGGTATTCACTGAATATCCACAGATTGTCTAACCCTTGGCAACACTGGTTTATTTCCACCTTATTATTTCCTTCCCCAGTAGCTTGTCCTTTTATGCAGATCCAGAAGGATAGTGCCAAGAAGCCGTTGAATAAGACTCTGCTGCAGTCAAAGGGAACTCCTATTCCCTTCACGTTCTCCTAACACTGACCTGAGAACATTTTTGAATTGTGGTAAAACAGGTTACTGAATCAGAGCCTCTCAATGCTTCTCCTTATTCACTGATTTTTTTGGAGGAGTTTCTACATTCATATCAGAGATCATGGACTCTGGGATGGCATACACACCGCCCCCCACCAGACAGAGACACTTTATGGCTTTATCTAATTGGTTTAATTGGTTTGTGTTTTGTTAATGTAATTAACTAACCACCATGAATGACTGATCAGCATTGCTAAAGTTATCTTTCATACATATAGTCTAAATTATTAGATACCAGAGTGATAATTGTGTCTAGGCATCACAAATAAAAAAACCTCAATCTGAATAAAACATGTAGGCCCACTTGTCTAGGCAAGGATACATGTAGGCAACATAACTATAATCATCAAATGGCATTTAATTTCAATGACAGCTCCACACTTCTGAAGAGGTGTATAATTCTACAAATGTCAAAACAGTTGCAACTGAAGCCTTCTTATCAATATAACACAAAATATGGAGTATGACATGAAGAGTTTATTGAGTTTTCAAAGTAAAGACATCTGTAAAGCTGCAGGCCCCAATAGATACTCCCAACTCTTTCTATAAGAAAAGTTATGATGTCCTCCTCACCATGTTTACAACATTTGTAACTGCTTCCAACTAACAGAAACAACGACATTCTCTTCTGAAGGTTGCATTTATTGTCGATCCCCTCAAAAAAGAAAAATTCAGCATGTGGCTCTTCCTGCACCGTTTTCCTCCTTGACGGGGACGGCAGACACCTCAGGAAAAAACTTTGCTAACAGTCTGGCCTTGTGCTGCCTGCCTACAATTACATGCACAGATCAATCTAGTTTTAAGTATCATCAGATAGTGGGTAGCAACATAAGGAGACTATTAAATATTATTCACTTCTTTCAGTTGCACAAAAACGTACTCATCCTAAACCTTAATTCCAAAAGGGCATTTCATAGTTTCTCCTGAGATTTTTTTTAATCTGTAACCCTAGAAGCTTTCCTTTGTGGTTCTTATTTCTGAGCCCTTGAAGAGGCTACCCTCTGTCCCTCTTCTTACCCATCTTAAAACCCCAAGCATGATTTTTTGGTCTACTGGGATTCAAAACTAGCAGCTATAACATTACCCTCCTTGCTAGGAGCCTGACTTAACTGACAGTTTGCAAATGGGTTTACATTTGCACTGAAGGGTTGAATGCATCACTTGACAGGAACCAGACCTCAAAACTCCATTCTTTAGGTATCTCTCTGATACAATTTTGCTGATAGCCAGCTGTTTCACACCCATTGATAGTAAACCAATTTCCAATGATAGCAAATAAGCAAAATTGATATATAACAGGGGTCTTGAACATGTAGCCCTGATCCAATGTGTGGGGCTTCTCATGGGCTGGACTAACCACGGCTGCTGGATCCTCATAAGTGGCAGCATTAATTGCTGGCTGTTTTGGTACAGCTCTGGAGCACAGGGAGTTATTGCTGCTTGCCTCCTTTCCCCGCCATCCTTGCCTGCCTTTAAAAACTGCCATCAAGTCCCTGGGTTCCAGAGCTGTGCTGAAACAGCGACTCCAGCAGCTGCAGGGATTAATGCTGCTCCTGCCTCTCTCCTGCCCCACAGCCCATACCGGGGCCTGTGGGGCCCAACAAGTTTGAAAGTTATTGGATTCAAGCTCCTAAAAGTGCCTTGAGACTCCCAGATTCCTCAGGCCACATGAACATCCACTGATTTCACTAGGAGTTTTATGGCTACATTCCTGGGAGTATCTGGGCCTTGAGTGTCTAATGGCCTCTTTAGGCACCCAAGTACTGAGTTTAGGTTCTCAGAGCTGCTTGGATGCTACCCGTGCCTGTAGGTACCTTAACTCAGTTTTCACTGATAAACTACCCTTGGTATTTAAATGTCTGTATCAGGGCATGCCACAGAATCATAGGACTGGGAAGGACCTCAAGGGTCACCTAGTCCAATCCCTGCACAGATGCATGTTTCAGTATTCCTAAACCATGCCCAAAGGCCTGTTGGGACTCTTCTTAAAAATAATCAGTGGATTCCACAAGTTCCCCAGGTGCTTGTTCTGTTGTCCTATAGTTCTTACAGTTAGGAAGTGTTTTCCTGAGATTTAAGCTAAATCGGCTTTGCTGCAGTTTAAAGCCATCACCTTGTGTCCTCTGTAGCAAAGGAGAACAGCTGTTCTCCCTCTTACTTATTCACAGAAGTTTAGGGCTGGAAGGGACCTTGTGAAATCATGAAGTCCAGCCCCCCTGTTCTGGGTAGGAAAGACTTCTGGGGTCAAATAACCCCAGCAAGGTGCGTGTCCAGTCTCCTGTTGAATATCTCCAGGGTAGGTGCCTGCACCACCCCTGCTGGGAGTCTATTCCAGGGTCCGGACACACAAACAATGAAGAAGTTTTTCCTTATATCCAGTTCCTTATGACAGTCTTTCAAGTACTTGAAAACTGCTATTGCATCCCCTTTCTCCCTTGAACATCCTTTTCTCCAGCCTAAACATGTCTAATTCTCTCAGCCTTTCCTTGTGCAGCCTGCATTCCAACCCCTTTATCACCTTTGTGGTTCAGATCTAGTGATCACACATGGTAAAAATGTTGTATTAACTCCTACGAGGACTGACTTTTCCTCTGAATCAATGAGCTGACAAAAAATAATTAGGATTTTATTCATGTAGATTTTCCAGTTGATAATTATAGCGGACTGTATTGAAATGTACTTGTCCCTAAAGAGAGAGAAACCTGTAGGTCCTGCCCTGGAGAATTGCCTCTGGTATAAATTTAAGACATATATATTACCTGCATCTCTTGGGGCTGTTGTATCTCTGAACTTGGAGGCAGTGTTCCTGATCCTTTTTCTACAGTACACTATGGCAAAGGTTCAGAACGATGTAAAAGGCTCTTCTAGTGCGTCTTCCTTAAGTAGAAATATCAGCATTAGGATATTAGCATTTAGCAATCTAGGTGAAATAAGAAGGGAGCCATAACTTCCTCACAACTGCTTATGACCCTCAGGTTGAGAATCCCTAGTTTTTATAAATTATTTCTGCTTCTCTTTCACAGAAGTGCATTAGCAGAGGAGAACTGCAAGTCTCGCTGTCTTACCAGCCTGTTGCACAGAGAATGACTGTTGTGGTGCTGAAAGCTAGACATTTGCCGAAGATGGATATCACCGGTCTCTCAGGTAGAAGCTATTTACTTCAGCCTACAACTGGTCTGTTGCACTCCACTTGATGCCATTTTTCTTTTTCCCTGTAAACAAAGCAAATGCTGTTCAGTGGGGTGATAACTAACTCCCGGTTGTTGATCAGTTGCTTATTGATCAGTTGCAACTCCTCAATTACATTTGAAGCGTTTGCTCTTCTATTTAATGCCTCCAAGGCAATGCCAAAAAATTAAAATCTACCCTACATGGGCAACATAGAAAGCAACTTGTGGCATGTACAAAAGAGAACTGATTGCTGTGGCAAAGGACAAGACTAGGGTTGAGAGGAAAAGACAAAAAGCTTCAATATGGTTTATATACTAGTGAGAGTAAGATGGGGATGAAAAATTCTCTGTAGAGTTTGAAAACAAATTTTTTAAACCAATTTAAAGAGCAGCTTCTGATTCTGTCACCTCCAATCTCAGCATTTTCTTTGTACTATATCTTCCTGTTCCCCCTCCTTGTTACCCTCCTTCCTGAATATGGTGGACTGACAAATGTGACAACATTAGGAAGTGGAAGTAGCAAATGCACGAGTCAGGTTATGTGACAGGACCATATAATTTCAACAGCAGTAAAAATTGATGCGTTTCTGTGAGATCATAGGGGAATGCAGGTATAGGTAGTACATAGCTATCAGGTTATCTGTTGAGAATTGGAGAAGTTGTAGGGAGGCTCAGTAGCTTTACCTGTCAGTATAATCGGTCCTTCCTGCCCAGAGCAGCATTGCTCCTCACAAATTGCTGCTGTTGCCACCCACAGCTACCTCAAATCCATACTGTAAGATGGAGTAAGTCTTCATGAGACAATGCTCAATATTATTTCTAGTTTTTGCTGGATAGTATTTTGATGGGACATGTGACACTTTACAGGGCTGCTGTTCAGCCTTCAGTCCTGCCCAGCCACAGCCCCTCATTTCCTTGAATCCCAAACATTTTAAGATCCAGTGTCATCCTCTTTCACCACTGGCAAGTTTTACTGTTTTTATAGATTTTCTCCGCTTTTCTGCTCTCTTAGGAAGGATGTAACCTGTGCGGTGGGCCAGTAGGGGGCGCTCCTGTGCTGAGCCGCCCGCCTCACTGCACCCAACCAAAAATCACGCTTCAGGTGCCTCCCCTGGGGTGCCTACATCTGGCCAACCCCTTCCTGGAGCACATCCGCAAGCCTGGGGTAACCACTGCCACCACCCAGGCTTTGCTCTTTGTTAGGGCTCTGTGTCATCTGGGGTACACAGACCCTGTAGACCTTGGGGGTGCTTAGCCCACCATGGTATTTTGGGCTGCTTCCTTCAGCCTGATGCATTCACAAGTAGCCTCCTGTATGGGAGGAAAGTAAAAAGCCATGCCCACCTTAGCCAGCCAAGCAAAAGGGCTATAAAGGCTAGTCTCACCCTCGTAAGCATTTACAGCAAGGTGTGCTATAACAGATAGCTTTATTGATCCAAGAGGGAGAGAGTGAAGAGGGAATACAAAACAACAGGAACTTGAAAGAAAACCTGCTTGAGCAAAACAGAGTGGGCTTGTATGCGTCTAGTTCACTTAATCCTAAATTACTAGCTAAATTTCAGGTAAGTTACTTGCATGTTCCTCCAGAGACTGATGGAGCTATGGGGGCTTTTTGCTTGTTTCAGCATCCCCCCTCCCAAAAAAGGTCTACCCCTCCCAAGAGGGAGTGACTAATTTTATTAGTTTTTTGACCTCATCACTAAGTTCCAACCAAAACCCAGCATTCTCAGAACATGGCTGATGCAGGCCAGTTAGTTTGAAAAACATCAGCAACCTGCTGGTGGAGTGACTAGTGCCTCACAGGTATTTGGGCGGGAAGGAGAAGCAAGTCCCCCCCTCCCAATGGAATCACCTAGGCCAGGGGTTGTCAACGGGGAGTACGCATACCCCTGGGGGAACTAGAGAAGGCCGTAGGAGGTATGCATGGGTAGATGGGGATGGAGCACCACCATGCACTATCCCATGAACGCAGGGGGCGGGGGAAACTTGCACATGGTGGTTGTCACCGCTCTGTATCCAGCTGCGTGCCACCCCCGCCCCCACTCCAGGGGGGTGCGCTGCTCCGCGTCCAGCTGCTGGGGGGTACAATGATGCAAAAAGGTTGAAAACCCGTGACCTAGGTGACCAGGTGGATTTCACAGCCAGCATTTGAAACTGGGGTGGGCAGACTGAGTAGGGAGGCCATCAAAAAGGGGGATTTCTCCACAACCTAATCCTAGCTTGCTTTCTTGAAACCTGATTATTTTACCTCAGCCCAAAACTTATAAAAAACAAATCTTACTGTCAAAATTTCTCGCGTGCATCGCTATCTATGGGATAGTTTATTTGAGCAATCGTTACTTTACTTCAGAACCTTCATCTGCAGTTTTACAAGGCTCAGTCCTTTCCCTCATATTATATGTTATCTATATCAGTGGTTCCCAACCTTTTCTGTGCCGCGGACCCACACAGGAGCAGCAGAGCTGTCTGCCTCCCCCCTGGGGCCTGCCCTGACCCCCAGCTTTAACCCAGCACGTCACCGCCAGCGACGGAAGCTGTTCTCCCAGGCAGACCAACGCGGAGCCAAGCAGGGGCTCATGCCACAACCTGGCAGCCAACTCTTTCTGGCCCAGTACCGGGCCGCAGCCCAGTGGTTGGGAACCTCTGATCTATATGAAACAACATGAGCCATAATTCCAAATAGGTGGATGACACCCAATTCCATCTCTCCAAAGACAACTGGAAATAAGGACCATTCCCCAGCCTTCTTAAAGCCCACCTGGAACCAGCACCTAGATGAAGAGCAAGACTGAGCTGAGGCTCACAGGTACAGCCAAGCTTTTTGAGGAATTTGCTTCCTCTTTGGTGTCCCCCATTATAAGGACATCTGGCCTCAAAATTTTAGGTTGGTCTGCAGCTCTAGGATGTTTGGGCTGAAGTAGTTACTGTGGTAAAATTACTCACTTCCATCAAGGACTGGCCATAGTACTGTACTTGCTCCTATTAGTGTCCTCATTATCATGAGCTATCTATTTGGTACTGTTGCAATTAATTACTGCAGTTCACACTTAGGAGTGAAGCTGTACCCATGGAAAGAGTTCTTATTGACACATACTGCAGCAGTGAACCTGCTGGGCACCACAGACTGATATAAATACATCACTGCTGTGCATTTCTCTAAACTCGGGCTTCATTGACTATAGAGCCAAGTTCAAAGGCTTTTTTGATATTCAAGGTCTTCTACTTTGTTGGACTCAATACCATCTTTCCATCTGCAACCAGGAATTCACACCTCAGCTGTAAAACTTCTTGCCTGAAGGAAAAGACTCCATACAGAGAAGCCAACTTGCAAGTAGCCTGGGACAGAAATAATTGGAGGCCTCATCAGCCTGAACTGCAGAACTTATCTTTCATCCTAGACTTTTGTGGGTTTCTGTAAACATATGCAGCACAGCCAACAAGCCTCCCATAAACATACATAGAGATGCAAAAATCATATACTCAAACTGTTTTTCTTGCAGCCTGGAAAGAAAGCCGAATTAGTTGACTATAAGGTGGTATTATCCACAAGAGAAGGCTGAGAGGCAATCTTGTGGCTGCCTACAAACTCATCAGGGGGGCCAGCAGGCAATAAGGGACACTCTGTTTATCAGGGAGCCCCTCAAGGTTACCAGGAATAACGGCCACAAACTGAAAGAGAACAGATTTAGATTGGACGTAAGGAAGAAATTCTTTACGGTAAGGGTTGCCAAATTATGGAATGGGCTTCCAAGGGAGGTGGTGCTTTCCCCTACCCTGGAGGTGTTCAAGAGGAGGTTAGACAGGCATCTGGCTGGGGTTACCTAACCCCAGCGCTTTTTCCTGCCTGGAGCAGGGGGTTGGACCTGAAGACCTGCCAGGTCCCTTCCGACTCTAGAAATCTATGAAATCTATTATTAAATGGGAGGCAGAATGCTGGATGAAGCTAGTCATAATTATTAAACAACCAGCTAAATATAAAATAGAGAGTTAACAACAAAACTAGCTTAATATAAAAATCACTGTTGGTAAAAATCTGAATTACAAAACAATTGGTGATGTGATAAATACCTCCAGGGTAATCACACACAGCCATCTCGATCACCTGGTAAGCTCCGCCTGTTAAAATAAAATGTGCTTTAAGATAAGATGCAAGATCATCAAAGGACAGAGAACACAAGCCATATGCATCGAATGGAATGTATGGAAAGGCTGAATCTTGGAAAGACGTTACTGAAAACGACTTGGGAATCATTGTGGACAAATTGAACTCTTTGTTAAGTGGCAAAAATGGCCAAGGCAGTCTTTGGATTTATGAAGAGGGTAGTAGTTAAGACTAGAAAAGTGACTTTTACCTCCATATAATGGCATTGGTTAAAGCAACTATTAAAATATGGCATGTGTTAGTTTTGTTAACATAAACAGATACCTCCTAAAACCTGGAGATAAGGGTCCAAAATTATTGGAGACTTGTGGGGGAGGGAACACCCCATGAACAATGCAGAGAATTCAGACTGTCTATTTTACAAGAAAGATGACTTGAGGATATAGAAGTACCTTAAGGGGAAAAAATACACGCACTAACGTGCTCTTAACCAGATGAAATAAGGCCTAACAAGAACCAATAGAAGTTAAAGCCAGTAACGTTCAGAGTAGAAGAAAGGCACAGATATTTAAGAGTGATGCAATTAACCACTGAACAAACTACAATGGAAGTGCAGAACCTCCAAATCGGATGTCTGCATTTTTAGAAAGGATGTAGTCAAATAAGTCTCTTGAGTTCAATACCAGGGAAACTGGATGAATTCTGCGGTTTCTTTGGGATAGCGTGAACTATGTGATTTAATGGTTCATTCTGGCTTAAAAATCTATGAATGAGATTCATAGATAAAGATGAGAGGCAAGGATTTTTTGTGGGTGTTACCTTATATTTAACCAACTGCACAGTCGGGAGGGACATAGACAAGCTTTCGGGTACCACTTTGCCTTTCCTCAAGATTCCTCAGATCTGGAGTGCTTGTTTATGTGTGTGTGTGTGTGTGTGT